AATGCTGCTTCTGCTGCTTAATACTGCTACCGTTACTGCTGCTACTGCTGCCGTGCTGCTGCTGCTTCATGTACTTTGACATCTCTCTTCACTTCGCATCTCTTTTACTGAAACACTAAACAGCTTCAACAATATTCTACTGCTCTGGCTTTGATACAGGATTATTGCTGTTATTATCTACGGATTCTGCAGCTGCTGCTGCTGCTACTGCTGCTGCTGCTTCATACTGCTACTACTGCTGCTGCTGCTTCATACTGCTACTGCTGCTGCTTCATACGGCTACTGCGGCTACTACTGCTGCTGCTGCTTCATTTACTTTGCCATCTCTCTTCACTTGCATCTCTTTTACTGAAACACTGAACAGCTACAACAACATTCTACTGCTGTGGCTTTGATACAGAATTATTACTGTTATTTTCTAAGGACGCTGCTGCTGCTGCTGCTACTGCTGCTGCCGCGGCTTGATACAGGACTATTGCTGTTATTATCTGAGGTTACTGCTGCTGCCGCTACTGCTACTGCTGCAACCCACTCTCTCAGAAGCTTATCCTGCTTCTAATGGACGCAGCCCGGCTGAGTATGCCGCGCTGCGCCGGACTCGCACCTATGCTCCCAGGGTCGCTTCGGCGGTCGTGCTTCATCTCTCTACCTAATCTTCTGATCTATCAGATGCAGCTGGCCAAGTAGCTGCGCTGAGCCGTCAATCTGACTCCTAATCAAAGGCATCCATACCTGTATTCTTCACTCTTCTGATCGCAGGCTCCCCATCATGCTGCCCATCCTGCAGCAGCGCTGAACTCCGGCTCATCTTCCAAGTACATGTCTGCCCTCCTCGCAGCATCTTCCTGCTCTCCTTCTATGGCTTCTCTGCATAAGCGTCTCACCATTGCTCACTCAACCTTCATGTGGTCCGAGACACTGCTTTCCCGACCTTCCTACTGTCCTGATTATCTACTCTCCAACCCAAGATTCTAAGCGTAAGGGCGCCTGCATCATCAATGGCCCTCTCCGACATGTCTCTGCCCCTCCAGGTCTCCGCTTCTACACGGACGCTGCCCCTTCCGTGGGTTTTGGGGGATTCTTCCAGGACCATTGGTTTGCCGAGCGTGGCCGCTACTTTCCACCGGAGCATCTCCTCTGCCCTACATCGAGATATTCCCAGTGGTCGCGGCCTGCGCGCTGTGGAATCACACGTGGCAGAGAAAGAGAATCTCTGTCATGTGTGATAATCTCGACGTAGTGGAAGCATTAAACAAAGGTCGCTCTTTTTCACCCAACATAATGTCCCCTGACCATTTCAACCTCCGTCTCAAACATTCAAAAATCAAAGGAGCCTGCAACATAGTAACAGCTCGCTCGGACACATCTCTCTGCCCCTACAAATCCATGATGCGTTACACTCGCCTCCGCTGCAAAAAAGGAGATTTTAACGGACCTCTCTTTCTCACTCCAGACATTCTTCCATGACAGCAACCTGGTTCAGAGCTCAGCTAAGATCCCTACTGCTCCTCTGTAAATTGTCTCCCCAGCTCTACACACCCCACTCTTTCCGGATAGGCGCTGCCACGCGCGCGGCCTCGCTGGGGTTCCCCCACACCTCTCTGCAACAGCTAGGGCGCTGGTCCTCTTCGGCCTTCTCCGCCTACATCAGGCCAGACGCGTCCGCCATCTTGGCTGCACAACGGCTACTGGCTTCCTCGTAAGCTCCCAGCAAAGCAATACAAAGCAAAGTAAGTGAACCAATAGGATTTCTGGTGGCGGCACGCACTTTTAAAGATAACTCTGCTACAGCGTCTGGTTGATCGTGATGCGAGCGCTCACGTCCCAGACAGCGTCCGGTTGATCGTGATGCGAGCGCTCACGTCCCGGCGCTTAAAGATACTCTGCTACAGCGTCTGGTATCGATCGTGATGCGAGCGCTCACGTCCCAGGCAGCGTCCGGTTGATCGTGATGCGAGCGCTCACGTCCCGGCGCTCAAAGATAACTCTGCTACAGCGTCTGGTATCGATCGTGATGCGAGCGCTCACGTCCCAGACAGCGTCCGGTTGATCGTGATGCGAGCGCTCACGTCCCGGCGCTTAAAGACAACTTTGCTACAGCGTCTGGTACCGATCGTGATGCGAGCGCTCACGTCCCAGGCAGTGTCCGGTTGATCGTGAAGCGAGCGCTCACATCCCGGCGCGCAAAGATAACTCTGCCCGTTTTTGGGGATTATGCGCGCGAGCAAGCGCCGCACTCATCAGCATCTCTCCTGGGCCTAGGGCGCCAAACATGCTCAATCAACAAACTTCTAACTGCATTTTCCCTCTTGGGTCTCTCCAAAGTGAAATGGAGCTCTTCGCGAAAATTCACTGTGGTAGACCCGGCCGCTGCTGCCAGATCTACAAGCCTGCTCATCCTCTACTCATTACACCAGCAAAACGCCCACATCTAATCCACCAATAACCACCAGGACAGCAAGTTAAAAGCCGGAGACGCCCACTTCCCGGCCTTCTGAAGTTTGCAAAGCCTCCGCCGCCCCACCTCCTCCGTTTCTCATCGAAGCGTGTTTGCCTACTGCCTCTGCCGTCACCAGTGCCTAGGCCCCGGGGGGGATTATGCGCGCGAGCAAGCGCCGCACTCAACAGCATCTCTCCCGGGCCTAGGGCGCCAAACATGCTCAATCAACAAACTTCTAACTGCATTTTCCCTCTTGGGTCTCTCCAAAGTGAATTACTGAAAGGTTATATTTATTTAAATCTTTGGGTGCAGTATGATTCAAACCATTCTCTCACACACCAGACTCATTCTAGGCAATGTGGGCAAAATGTCTTCCTTAAGGACACAACAGTTAGGCACTTTACAGCCGCAGCCACCCCACTGTGGCATCTGGTGTTCCCAGAGCTCTTCCATCAAAGAAATAACCAGGTCCTGCCCTGCTTAGCTTCAGCTGTCTGACTGACTGACAACTGGCTTTCACATACAGGTATGACCCAAGCAACATATTCAAGTGAAAATCATATGTAAACATCCATTAAACGACAGAAATTACCACCCCATGGCAAGATAATGTCAAACATATGTCCAGTTATGTCTAAATCTTGCTGTTTGTTTACAGCCGAATCACTGGTAAGATACAGAAAGATGATATGATGCTTAAACTTTATTTTGTATATATTTTTTAAACCAGCTGCGGTGAAGCCGTTCAACAACGTGCTTAACACTGCTGACAGTATCCTCACGAGGAGAGAGCAGAGTGACAGCTCTACAGCACACACACATAAGCACACATACACACACACACATACACATGAGACAATAGTAAACAACGTGTGTGTTTCCAACAAGTTAATCTGACAAAACATTTAACCAAACTACTGTATCATCATCATCTTTTTATGACACTTACAATATTATTTATGGCTTATTTGATTGGGACAGTACTAGCCTGGTCGTAACACACCATAGTAGAAATTACATTTCGTACTAAGGTCTGGAGGCGCATCATTGAGCTCCGTTAACAGGTGGGAGGGATTAACTCCTTTTGCAGAATGAAACGATTGGATCTGAGTTTACCTTCACGTATGTAATGCACCCGAGTGAGTCGTTAGCATTTAGCCTAGCTTTAGCCATCTCCTTTGCCGCTAACGGAACCCGTGGGGAGTAGCGCCACAATCTTTGCCAACATTTACATTTGTTAAACATTCTTCTTGCTCCGGCTTCAATTTCTTGATAGAACCAGACCAGATTACTTTACTATCACATTCTTCGCCATTGCCAAACTACAACCAGTCGAAATTCAACCGATTGTGATCGCAAACACATGGACCAGACCCAGACGTTGCATGCAGGAAAATGATGATTGAACGGAGTGTACGGATGGCTAAGGCCAGGCTAGGACAGTAAATAGCCATGGGCTGATTTACATCCATCGTCCCACAGTCACACTCACACACTCATTCATTCACCCTGAACTACTGGACATGTTTTTAGTGGTGGGGAAACCGGAGTACCTGGAGGAAACCTACTCAGACACGGGGAGAACATGCAAACTCCACTCAGAAAGGCCCTGTTCCGACCAGGATTTGAACCCAGAACCTTCTTGCTGAGAAGCGAGAGTGCTACCCACTCAGCCACCGTGTCTTCCATGAGACAAAATAACATACATTTTGTGCCAGATGCATGTGTACTTGTATAAACACTTTAAATTTGATGTTACGGCCCTAGGTCTCCTTGGTTAGATTTAGTGTTTTGTGTGTGTGGGTGTGTGTGTGTGTGTGTGTTACTTTGTGGCTACCCCACCCCTGTTTCGAACCAGTCAAGGAAATGTCTGTCATTGTCACAAAGGGTGACAATGACTTAATAGACATTATTCTTATGGATTTGTATTGCTTTTATTTGGTCTGTCTCTTTTAGATGTCTCTTTGAGGTTTTGTTTTTGTAACACTTTGCTTTAGTTGAGACAGCAGTAGGTTTAGGGTTTATTTCTGTGTTCGTTCAAGTCAGTCCTTGTGTATTTTGTCCGTTTTGGTTTATGTCTACATATCATTTACATTCCTGTTTAAGTTCTTTGTTACCTCCTTTACCCTACCAGAGCTGGGTCGAACCAGTTGAAATTAAACCAAACATACAGTATACATTGTGAACAGGTGAAGGGGATTTGGAATTTCATAAGCGTTTGTTGATCCATCAAATTTGTTTTTAAAATTGTGCTGTAAATGTTCTGAAATAAAGAGGGGAACCTTGCAGTTTTACTAGTATTTTAAGATAAGAAAATATACTGGTGACAAAATGTGCACTAGCTTTTGCATGGGGATGGAATAACATTACATTACATTATGAATTGAACCAAATCGTTCTGAATTGTTGCTGGAAAGGTTTATCTTGGTTTGTTTGAAACAATACATGTCCTGAATCTTAAATATTTTGTCTACAGCTACTTTAGCTAGTAAATCACACAGTATTGACACCTTTTTGCACACAGACAGCACTCATTAGACATAGTGCTCAGATACTGTACCTTAGCAGCCAGCGCTCTGACAGCCTCCTTCCTGCTGTCACTCGCTCCAGTGCTGAGGTTGGACTGGGACTCAGCTGCTGGTTTGGATCCTGATTTTGTGTGTTTATCTCCACCTGCGAACAGCCCAAACAACACATACAAAGCTGCCATTTAGACTTGTTAGAAGAAAAAATCTTTTCCAGCGTTGTTGTTATCATTTAAAAAGAGTAGAACTTGAAATCGACATCAAAAGAACATCAGCTGGTAAAAACAGTGTTATTATTCCACTCGGATCAGTAATTTGAATTTATGTGAACGTCAAGTCACAGCACACATTCTGCTCAATGTGAATCAAAATGACAGACCAGAAAATATTAATGAATAATGCAGCGAAGCAGGACAAGGTAATGGCACAACGAGCTTGTGCTCGACAACCAATCTCAGCGACAGATTCTTTAAAGTTAAGCCTGAGTGACTTCTCCATTCGTATTCCAGTAGTTAGAGGTCCCCTGAGCATTCTTTCTAAAGAGTGCACAGATTGTGCTCTTGCTTGTGTAATGTCCCTCACTATGTCTTAAAGATTATAAATTCTAATGGAGACATGGCTTTTTATCAATCCAAGTTTGAATCCAATGCATATTCAAACTTGATTTCATTTCAATATCTGAAAACATTTTTTAGTCATTCCTTGCTGATGACATTTGAGCTAGAGCAATTTATTATTATTTCATATTTGTATACATACAAAAATAAAATAATAATAAATTGAGATCTGTGTAATTTTATCAAAAGCAGTTGCCATTACGAGGTTCAATTATTCAAAACACATCTCTTTGTACAATAGGTCTCCGACTTTTCATCATTTGTCAAGAGTGCCAAGCCACTGAATAAAGCTTCCTCACAAGCCAAGATCAAAACTGAGTATCAGAAAATTAGTGCCAGTTAATTGTACCCATTTCATATAGCACCAGTTGTACCTCATCCTTATGATTTCTTTTTAACTTGCTATATTCAAATGAAACTACAACGCTCACCATTTATTCCAATTACTTTGAATGATCATAATTATATGAGGAATGACAAAGCATTGGTATTATCTAAAACAAGCCTGACAGAATATCCCATTACTGAGGCGACCCTTGATTACTATAATTCTTTTAATATGCCTTATTTCCTGACAAAATGAAAATGTTGCCACTCAAAAATGGGATCAACAAACTTCTATAGCACTACAAGTGAAATCAGCACACTGCACCTCAGGGGAGGACTTGAAAGAAGAGAGCATGACCCACTTACACCGTCGTCCTCACCGTGCTCTACCTCACAGCACAGTTTAGGGAGCAGCTATTAAAACTTGTCTTAAAACAAAGGGTCTGTAGTCTAATGTACTTTTATAGCTTAATTCTAGGATCAGAAGTTAAGGAGCTTTCCTACTTCAAGGGAAAAGCTGTAACATGTGTTCAATCACAACAGAACCAGGGAATTTCAATAACTGTCATAGATGAACATAGTGTGAAAATCAGCACCTCCAAATCTGAGGTCATGGAGCTCCACTGGAAAAGGAGCCTCGCTCCAGGTGCAGAGGTGCTTCCTAAAGTGGAGGACCTCGGGATCACGAGTGTGGGAAGGATGGAGTGTGAGATTGACAGACAGATTGGTGCAGCATTTGCAGTGACTTGGTTGCCCCCTTAGACATAGGGTGTGGAGGTTGGTCACATGGAAGGGGCTTGGAGTAGAGCCGCTGCTTTCCACATGAACAGGAGCCAGGGAATGACCCAGGACACACTAGCCTGGGAAGGCCTCAGGATTCCCCCGAGTGAAGGAAGTGTGTGTGGATCGGGATGTCTCTGCTCAAACTGCACCCCCCCGCAACCCAGCAACGAATAAAGTGTAAGGAAATGGATGGATGCTGCTCATTCTGATCCAATGATCAGCTTGAGACACAAAGCATTATACATTGGTAAATAAACAAACATGAGATCAGCTAAAGAGGTCATAGTATTATCATAATACCAGCCTATTTGATAATAATGAAATAATATAGGTTTTTTTGTTGTTCACAAGGTTGAAAAACCTTAACTGCTGCATATGATGTTATCTCCTCTACAAAAGTTTAAAACTTAAATAAAAATGAGAGTTTGTTAAACAATAATTGAGAATCTTACATTTGGGTGATGATCTTGGGCTGTGGGTTGTGCCTGTCGCCCCCGATAGTCCTGGAGCTGTGCGGAGGCCATGACAGCTGAGATTGACAATCTGCCAGATGATGGAGGTCTTCCCTGATCCAGCGTTGCCCACGATCACCGCCCCACGCCCCTCACAGCTGCTGCTCTTCTTCAGGACCTCCTCCAGACGCACAAACAGCCAATCACGGCCCACGAACGGAGTGTCTGCTGTCATCCCCGGGACTTCGAATAACAAGGGCTTCAGCATGATGTCGGCTTGTTTGAAAAGAGCCAATTTACCTGAAAACATATTTAAATTGTATGATGTAACTTTACTTTGAGGGTTTCCCACCATGTCTCTCTTCGTTGTTTTTGCTTTTTCTGGAAGAACCTTCCGCAGCATGGACTAAAACCTATTGATCTCCAAGCAGTAGTATCTAGTATATGAAGAAAAACTCAGAAATGTTGTGCAACTTTAGGGCAGAATTATGATAGTAACAGTATAGGGCAGTTTCAAGTTCTTAGTAAGTAAAATCAGATATAAGTATGTCATCAAGACAAATCCTTTGTTTGTTTTTTTTCCAACATCTATAATGTACTATTGGGTGCAGCTCTGACTGCCACCCCCAACCCAGAAAAATGGACAAAGGGGAAGAAGATGGATGGATGGATAATATACTACTGTGACAATGTGCCAATCCAGGTTCACGACAGTTCTGTTTAAAACTGAAGGATTGTATCCTTCTCTCTTTATATATTATTGTGATTTTATTGGGATAGTATTGTGATTTTCATGATAATCACATCTGTATGATTGTTTTGAACTTTGAGATGCCTTGTGTATGAACTGTGTGTTAAAACATGAACGCATTGTATTCAATAGAACTGATGCTAGCTCGATCAAAATCCACTCAGACTTCTGAAGTGGAGGATAATCATTAGTCAGTTGTTAAGGACATGTAGTCCAGTTATTCACAGAGTTCACAGATGTTGCACTGTGCTATATTTGCTCATTTTGACTGTGGGACAACCCCAAAATACCTTTGGAGTCGTCATTTGTGCGGCCAGCTGTGTGGTGTTTGCGGACAGACGCTCGATGTCCTGCGGGCCGGTGGTTGTCCAAAAAGCTTAGGTCCTCCAATCTGGTGGTGCTGGTAGCTGAAACACATGATTATTTTGTTACAATTATGTAATATGCAAAGAAGCATTCTCCTACTGTCCTGGTGGCTACTTCACAAAGAGCAGGTCACCACCGGGACAGTTGGGGAATGCACCTTAAAGCAAGCATATCTGCATACGTAAACTATTATCAACATACAGTATAAACCACAGCCTTTAAAGCCTGAGATTGTGAGCAAGACACAAACAGCAACAGAGGCATTTACATTTCAGTGTAAGCTAACGTGAGCCATGTAGAAGTAGAACTTCACCCATAGGAACTTCCCTTTTGGGCTAAATAGAGCTTAAGTTACCATTGTTCATCCCTATACAGTTGATGATGATTATGGCGATGATGACGACAATGATGATGACACATCATACTTTTATAGGGATTTTCACGTCACCCAAAGTCTATGAGCATAAACCTACTGGATTCTTTTAAGTGCTGAAAATCTGTGTAGTCATGGAAACTCAAGAGAAACATTTTGATCCGGTGTAGGAAACTAATGTAAAATATAAAAATAACATTGAGAATATATAGATTACTATATATAGATTTGTCCATCCAAGTTCAAGCTGAGTATTGCATATTGAAAAAAGATCCTATTGTATACAGTATACAGTAAAGAACAAAAGGCAACAAGAAGCAGAGAACAAGACAGCAGAAACATCCTCCCACTCACAATCAAGAGTTTATAGGTGAGCTGAGTTTCTGCTTGGCACAGCGTAAGATACTCAACTCAGATTCAAGTCCGTTGAGATATTATGAAGCATTATATGTGAGAAAAGTATATAGGGTTGAATTCATCGTCTTGTTTACTGAGAGACTGAGTTTATCATCTGTTCATAATGCATGTACAGTAGGTCGCTTCGGTAATATCACATATTTCATGGACCATACTTTCCCATATGGTCTATTTCTTTATCTAACAGTATAACAGACTGCAGGAACTAAACATACTCCTTATGGCAGATGGTCTTGGTTAGCCCAGTTTTTTCATATGTTATGTAGAAAAAAAGAAACAAGAAAAAATGAAATCAACTCAGATTCACATGACATAAGAAATAATATAAGATAAGATTTAGCTTTATTGATCTAAAAATGGAGAAATGTACATTTTACAATAAGATCACTCAAGGTGTGCAAATATTTGGGGAATGTACAGTTAAAAGATATAAGATATAAGGTATATTAGTAGTACAATAGAGGTATCTCATGCACAACTAAAACGGGATATGTCATCTTAGAGATACTACATATATTAACAACACTTAACATTACCTCATACATTTTCTGGTGCAATTTTAAGCACCCCCTCAAAAATATTTCTTCTCTAGGGGCTTATCCTCCCAGAAAATGAATACATGAATAAATAATTAATATTCTCAGCATGTCTTATAGTGGATTTACAAACACTATGACCGTCTAAGTAGAAAAAAATAATTGTGGATTTTATGAATGGCAATGTGATCATTCATTTTTTGTACAACATGAAAAATCCCATGGGAAATCTGTAAATCTGGTATTACTGCTGCTTGTAATCCCTTCAGAGCAGGATAAAAACGCAGTCACTGAGCTTCTGTGTAAAATGCCACAGCTGCAATGAAGTGACCTGCGAAAGGAAGTGAATATGCCCTAAAGGCTGTGTACAGTAGTGAACAGTGGGCCCAGTGCAGCTTATGCCTTCAATTACCACCATTACGACAACTTTAATATCTAGGGTGGGTAAAACCAAGTTGCTGAATGAAAAGGTAGTCTGCACAAAAGGTCAGAGAGAAAGAAGGTACAACAAAACACATGCTTATTCTTTAGTCCATGGTCATGTTTTTAGTACAGAAACAAAGAAACACTGTAAGAAGTAGTGGTAGGGGGGAAAATTGATTCTGTTCAGTAATAAATCATAACAGAATAGAAAAGTATTGCACTATTTAATAATTATCTTTTTCACAGTTTACTCTGGTAAAACAATCAGCACTTTGCGTTACCTTGAGTATGAATTGTGCTATACAAATAAACTTGTTTATATCTGAGGTTATGTCTGTTGGATTTGAATATTATTCCCCGTTGATGAACATGGTGTTGGAAAATTACTGCTTCCCCCAGTCCCTGATATGAGGGACATGAATCGCAGTATATTGCAGAATACTTGCTGTATTACAATGTTAAGAATTGCAATAATATTGAATTGTGGCCCAAATATTACAATACTATTGAGTTTTCACATTTTTGTCAATTCCTAGTAAGAAGATTGCGCTGTTAAATGTATATTGTGTGTATTTATATTTTCAAATTGTATAAATTTTTATGCATGCCTTTTTATCCATTTTGTACTTTTTCATAACTTGCACCATATAGCAAAGCAAAATCGTAGTTTGTGACTTCCTGTTACCTACTGATTTTGTGATTGGATTTCAGATCCAAAAGGAAAACAAGTGTTTAGAGTTAATTGTGATGGGATGGGAGCCTGTGCACTTCAGTGTTGAACCACAAGTCAATATCTGTTTTTTAAGCCTCAAAAACTAAGGATCTGTGATTTTCTCCCCTCACACTAAGGTGAGTTTACATTTCAAGATCTATTCAAGGTCCAGGTTAATCACACAGAAAAGTGACATGAAAAACATTAATTACTTACAATGACTTACAGAAATGCAAGGGAAAGGAAACTGCTCTAACCCTTAAATTGGTCTAAGATAAATAGTCAGAGAAAGAAGATGCTATATTTGTGTTCCATGTAATTAAATTGCAATAACACTTTATTCAACACATTTGTTTTGTCATTTTTTTCATAAGCTTTGCAGCCGATGAACTTAATACTTGAGTCAGATAATTAAGGAAAAGAAAACCAACAGAGAACAGTCGGCCGCTGACAGTGTGAAGGAGGTGTGGTGTGGGACGAGAGATGATAGATGGCTTAAGACATGAAGCCAAATGGCTAAACGGACCAGTTCTGCAGCTCGAGCAGCTTTTGAGCTCGCTGATACATGGACAAGCTGGACACAAGCTGGACACTTCAACCCTGCGCCTGATGACAGTCTGTCGGTGAGCACCTATCCAACTCACAGTGGCCTTTCTCTGGCCGCTGACACCCGGCTGATTACCCAACAAACCCTCCTGATCTTTCCTCATTTCTAAAGGTCATCTCTGTCGCCCTGCGCTTCTGCCTCCAGCACCTCTGATGTCACTGTCCAAAAGGCTCCAAATCACCAAGTTTACTCGCAGGCTTTGCAAAAGTGAGCTTAACCACAGACATACTGTATACATACTGTACAGATATGGAAGACTATAGGGGACATGGGACTAACAGAACAAAGTTTCATATCCCTCAAAATAATACCGGTATTACCACAAACTGTATTACAGTATTATAGTATCTAAATCCATAACAGAATCGTCCGTTATGGTTGTAGGTACAAACATCTGCAACATCCATCTGAATGTTTCAAAATGGCGCCTTTTAACAAATCCAACAAAATATGCATAGAACAGTGCATTTATCACTCAATTACACATACGTATTGCAGTGGATCAACTATGATTTTTTACATAAGGAAACACAATTTACAACCAAACTACTTAATGAAGAAAAATACAATTAAACAGAAGCTCCTACCTTTTACAAAACTGCAGACACTGATCCGAATGTAATGCCAACATGTTGTAATTAACACTGTGTGAAACAGATAAATGCTGGTTTGGCTTGAACACTTAATGTAGCGATTAATCAGTTAGTTTTCAGTCAAACGTAATTACATATTAAACACTCATTGTTCTCTATCAGTGGGGCGACAGTAGCTCAGTTGGTAGAGCATTGGTCTTTGGGCCTGGAGGTCGTGGGTTTGAGCCCACCATAGGACCTAATCCAACTGCTCCCACAATGTCTACTGTCGTTGCGTCCTTGGGCAAGACACTTAACCACATGTTGCTTGAAGCCCCCGGGGACTGGCGCTATGAGCATTGGGTGGCAGCTCTCATTGCCACCCCCCGGCCCAGAAATGGACTAATAAAGGGGTTGAAAATGAATGAATGTGAATGAATCAGCGCACTGTGACAAGACTGCTGACCGAAGCTATGGGAACATTAAAACTACAATGTTTAGGACTGTTCAGAGATGCATAAAAATGTAACTTTACTCAGCCATACCAACTGGCATATCACCAACATAGACTTTAAATTAATGTATGACTAGATACTATTCAATGTATCTAGTCTAGTCTAGAATCTAGGTATAATTCAGTGTTTCATACAGTACATACACACTTTGAAGTTTGTGGTTTTTGTTGAATTTTCTACCTTATGTTCAATTAAATTTATTCAAATCATTAATCACAACAGATGTTGTCTCGGTAAAAATGAAAAACACATAAGAAGCATTGGTCCATAGGGAGCAGGATGACCAATATCCATAAGTGTTATTAAATGTGTATAAATGTCCCGGATTATAGACTCTCCTGCATCGGAAAGGAGCATGCCAGTGCAATGACACAATGTTAGATTGGTATCAGTGTTCATTTTTAATTGGAACATATTACCAATATATCTTGATTGTGATCGTCTAAAACTCATCATTGATTGACACAGAAGAAAAAGTTACAAAATAGATACAACTCAGTGCTCATGATTAGTAATTTTGGCACATTCAAAGTTCTATTCTGTATTTTCTTCTCTCACAAAGAGTACAGTGCAGCATCTTTCATCTTTGTATGTCCTATGCCACATTTACATTTCAATCATGCATTATTGATAGAACCTTTCCCCGCTCTAAAAAGCCTTTGCACAGTCGCACATCCTTTCACTGGATAGTAGTCTTCATGTTAATCCATTGACCACCAAAATGTCTTGACCAAACAATACATCGTCACCCGGATATTTGCACTTGCGAGTTTGCGTTGACACACACAGTGACAGAGTGTGTGGGAACTTTTTTCGTTTTACATTTTATTTTACCCCTGATTGTAAGTCTCATCAAGCTCTTTCTGAGTGAATGCACCAGCTGACGGCAGAAACTGGCAGGCTGAAAGTGAATGTGAATACACACTCCTTGGGGAACCTCTTCTTTTTCTCCCACCACAAATGAACCGACATCTAAGAGAAGAGAACGAGCCTTGTGCAATAACCAAAAGTCGTGACTGGAGAGAGAGAAAGAGAGAGAAAGAGAGCGAGAGAGAGTAGTGTGTACAGTTATTCATGACAACCATAGGCCCTCTGTGGACATTTAGCAGCTCCACATTATTCATTGAAGAGTAGCAAAGCACAACCAAGGAATTGCAGAGATCATGTCAACTTGGTAATAGGGTAGGATGGGTATGCGTGGGAAATATGGTGATAAGGAATTTAATTGACTCGAGAGACGGTTTTAATACAGCTATCCTGAAGCACTAACTACACAACTCCTATTGGCCGGTCTGCCAAAGGCTCTAAGTGACTTTTGGGTGGATTGAAGCAATTACAGTAAAGTATGAAGTAGTGAGTTTAATCAATTTGAAAAAGCAATTTGGCTACATTAGACCCAGATGGATTTATAATTTATGCAACTTGTTTATCAACTAAAATAAGAGATATGGAAATGGCTGCTCAGCTGAAACTTAACTGAAATCTATGTGAGATGTTGTATTGCCACTCTATCTTAGTAAGCATATAGGAAAGCATATGGGAATCTCAAGTAAAAATATTTTTTCATCATCATCATAAACTTAACAGTCAATATTAATTAATTCAATGGTAAATTCATTCCCTGAGACTGAGCTCATGAATTCATTATCACACTTCATTAATGGGAGAAAAGCTTTCAATTTTACTGCTTGACCTTAACAGTGGGCCCCTAATTTGCATTGATTTTATATACGCAGAGCAGTTGTGAATTAAATTAAATAAGCTATTATTTTAATATCATCCACTCCTGTGTTTCCAAGAGCATGCATCTGTCGTATTAGTGTAACATATATTGTAGCATTTATGCAGAATACATTGCAATATCAATGTCAATATCAAAGTGGCAAGAGCTCTGGTGTGTGTCGTTGGCGCACACCGGGGTAGTCTTGCACAGTTTTCCAATGTGGTTTTACTGCAAATGGCAAATAAATGAATCTGAATCTGAATCTGATATGATACCTACATTTCAAAATAATATTAATCAGACAATAATACAGTGCAAGACTGAAATAACCTCGGATCTGTTCTCACCAAACAGGATCTTTATATCATGACATTTCCTCTAACGTTGTATTACTAATGTTAATTAGTATTTTGACATTTGAAACTCATTAAATATTAAAATCCCCACATTTCCTCTTGACTTTTGCTTGGAAAATTATTGGATTGCTTTTGTATCAAACCTTGTATTAGACTAAATAACAGTCCACACAAGTGACATTTAAAAAAGATAATATTCCAATTTCCAATATCCAAAAGATACAATTCCAATCGTAACTGAAATTAATATTTTGCCTCTATTGTAGCCATACAAAATAAACTTTAAACCTATATTCATGAACATAATTGGACTATTTTCTGTTATAGGCCAGTATATATTTTACATATTGTACATTTCAATCAATTGGACACATCCAGTGCCGAGTTCAGCCATTCTGTAAAAATCCATTGAAGCAGGAAGTCAACTTACCCGCCACTGAATTTGGGCGCTGCATAACGAGAGAGGAGGTCCCCTGGGCATGGTGCTGTGGTAGAGGTCTTTTGGGTGCAGGTGGAGTCCTGTTCTCTGTGATTTCAGCTCGATATAAGGCCTCATCCAATTGGACGCTCAAAGTGTCCTTGCCGGAGCCACAGTGACGCTCTTCAGCCGTTTGGCACATAACTCCAACACTGCTGCTCGGGGCTTTGTCCTTAGGTAAGTCTGCTCCGCGCTCCTCATTCTCTGAAGAGCTGGTGATGGTTGCTGTGGCACACGATGACAAATAGTTGTTAGTCCAAGACAGTCATGGTTATATACAGGCCAACAGGCAGCAATTAAACCTTCAAAGTCAATGTTACAATCAGATGATGGCGTATAATTTCCTGTCTTGTAAGGGCGATAGGTTACATAATGCCCATGTAATTAACACAATAAATTATAACCTAAATAATCACATTTAAAAAGATGTTCCACCTATTTATAATGTAGTAATTATAGTACTTGTCGACATCAATTATTTACAGCAAAAATATTTGTAATTTGTTTGAACCCACGCCACCTTGGGTAAGGTTTTGTCCTTCTTGTAACTTAAAATACCAACTATTTAAAGTAAATGTGTCCCATTTATGGAGAATCAGAGCTATAAGCAACAAAGACAGCAGTGTCCCAGTTTTGACGCGAGTTTGCTGGAGCCTCAAGGCAAAGGTGCAATGGTGACTTACAGAAGAAGAAACTCAATTCCAAAGACGAGTTTTGTGTAAAAGGTTAAAAAAAAGAATATATTATAAAATGTATCTACCTGTATGTGGGTCATTGTTGTCCAATGAAACAGTAGGCTTGAGTCCAAACATATTCATATTTAATGTTTATTTTTTTTATTTATATACCGCCTTTCACAGACCAGAGTCACAAAGCGGTTTACAATTGTTATTATTCTTGGGCACTTGTCCTCTCACTCCACACAGAGATGGGAGCGGGGTCGCCGAACAGGAGGCGCATGCCAGACCTATTGTACATATTTTTAGTGGTAGGGGAAACCGGAGTACCCGGAGGAAACCTACGCAGACACGGGGAGAACATGCATTTAGCAAGTAATAGTGTTTGAGAGAATATTAAGATAAAACCTACAAACATCTGACAACTTCTCTCAAGTCTCTGTATTTAAGAAAGTTTGAAAAATCACAAAAAAACTAAAGAAAATACAGAATTGAATGACCTATGTATTTTGTATAGATAAATAAATGACAGGGTTTTTATGCATTCAGTCTTATACTGTGAATTATTGATATAAGTCTTAGAGGGAAATTATGTTAACGTTAAAAATAAACTTTATTCAAATTTTAGATTTTCTAATAGTGAATGTTTTTTGATTCAATTGTCAAACTTCATAACACCAAACCACACTTGAAAATGGCATCCAATGTTCTTGATTAAAAACTTTCTATGTATATATTTTTTGTGTATTTGACCTTGTAGTGAGTAGTAGTAAGAGTAGGCATCATGACGCCTTTATGTTCGATCACGGTTTGGTCTACTGAGCTTCAGGATCAATTGTTTTGTAGATTTTTTGGTGCGGGGGTCCCTCAGCAAAGGAAAACTGCTGAACAATTGGTCATATATCATAAGTAAAGGCACCCTTCTGATCACTCATCTCACTACAAGGTCAAATATCCAAAATGATCTACTTTTTTCACATTAAAAAGTGCATAATGACCCTTTAATGGCAACTGTAAAATGAGGAAAATGAAATATACTTTCTACCTGAGTAAAAGAATCCAGACTTTACTAAAAAATAACATATACTTTACATACCAAATACACTTACATTCCTTGGAACTAATGTTACTGATAGTTTTGTTTTTATATGTTTTAAGCACAGTGCAGCATTACATCTGACAAAATAAACCTCACCGTCCCAAAATAAAACATGAGGTGACATTCTGCCCTTGATTTTCAAAGAGATTTTTTATGGAGCAGTGAGCGCTCACCTATGATCCCACTATCCTTGCTCTCCAGGGTAGAGGTGGGGCTCTGGGCGTTGGGTCCAGGGATGTTCCCGGAGTGCAGAGCCGTGGAGGGGGCCTGGGTGGTGGGACTGGAGAGAGTGCCACAGGGGCTGCAGCTGCTGTGGGGGGACTGTGGAGGCAGGCACATCCCTCCCGAAGAGACGCCCAGAGTGGAACATGGGCTCTCCGAACATGGGGATGCTGTGCTGCAGGTTAGAGTGGAGCTGGGACTGCCCCCCTGCATGGCGATATCACACAGAAGGAGAACAAGAAAAAGAATAGTATGTTTCAGAGCATCCATAAAAGATACAACAGCCACCATGCTTTAGACAGAGAAACAGAACTGTGAAAACCAACACAACTCAATTTCGTTCGTGCACTCATAGACTGTATATTAGGAATTGACAGACCCACAGCTGATGTCACCATAGTGTTTGCCGAAGAAGCTAATTTAATACGATAGCTGGAGCCAATTTCCTTATATGGGCAATTGTTTCCACAGCATTAGCTTTCCACAGTACCGGGGGAAGGTGTGTTCCTAAGAATGTTGCTAAAGCAAGCTGTTGTTTCCACTGCAAATGAAGGCATCTGATTGGTTCATTCGTTTGGGTCATATCTGGATAGACAAAATCCAAATATAAGCACAATAATCATAGAGAGCACTAAACCTCAGATTTGTAAACCCAAAATGGTGAGCTAGGTTAGACTTAGAGGAGTTAGAAGAGTTTACTTCTCAATGTAAGTCAATAGGAGCAATATGTCTAATAAAAACTATTTCACACATTGAATTCAATTGAACTTTGCAACACCAGAAAATAGTTAGACCATAGTTGATATTTACTGACAAAGAAGATGTTAATTCACGTGGACTGGCCCAGGAGATAAATTAGCTCTAAACAAAAAACTAGAGGTCTGACTTAAGGATTAAAACACTTAAACATGTGGAATATAATAACAAGTGAAAAAATAAGTAAAAACATGGCAATAAATCAAGATTGTCATTGTGAGCATCTGTGCCGGTGCAACGTAAAACATCTATTCGGTTGTCAAGACGACCATAAAAATGGAGGTCAGTGTATATAGATTCAGTCATATTTCTAACTAGAGGGAACAATACAGTGTGAGCAAACAAAGTGCTTTGAATGTAGAAATAATTGGCCCTTAGAGTTACTACAGATGTAAAATACATGTTTTTTTTTTTTTTTACAGCTTACACATCATATCCATAGTATACAATAGATTTACAAGATCATTCCAGGTGAAATAGTGTTCAAAGGTGAGATGTATCAATCATGTATTTGTTATAATGTTGATAATTGGCTCACAGCTTGTAAAACCCCCCAAAAATCATCTCAGAAAATTACAATATTTTGAAAATGAACAGTAGGTCCTAATCATTCAAATGGACATACACAAACAATTTAACAAACCAAGGCTTGGCATATATCATTTTGAATATCTATATCAGTGAGCAAACCCCTCTGTGCTGCTTGCAATACATTTACGTGTAAATGTAAAGTGGCCATCAGGAAAAAAGATTTTTCCATGCCTTTTCTATAGCATATATCAGTTTCACATATTAGGTTGAACTAGACAAATTAACTTTTGAACAATATTCTAATTTGCTGAGATTCACCAGCATGATAAGAATGTGTGATTATTTTCAATCAAAGTGCCTTGTTGAGGTTCAGTAGAAACAAAAAAGGACAAAGAAAATGACACGACAAAAACAGATATCTCCTCTTCCACCTTTCGCTCTAAATGATTTTGAGCACTGAGTTTAGGCTGATATGCAAGTCAAGTGCTCTAATAATTGTGTTTCTTTATTTTGCTGCATGTGAGTATTGCAGCATTAATGTCCAAGGACAACTCATTTGAAGAGATACTGCAGTAAGAGAACCTTTTTGAAAAGCAGCGCCCATCTGTGAGGCTGTTTGGCTTCATGCGCACACACTGACAAAGTGTACACATGGGAAATGAAAACATAATTCCTGTTACTTTCATCCAGCTGCCATCTTCCCAGAGCTGCTGCAGCTGAAGAGGCCGAACTTCACCACACTGAGCACATTTACAGTTTACAAGTAACAATAAACAGTATAAACATGACCTTAACGTGAGCAAAACCAACGCTACATCTACCACAAATAGAGAACAAAGACAATCAGCGAGAGATGGAGGAGGCTTCGTGAGTAAGATCTATTTATTAATTAGACTGGGATGATAATCAAACCTCTATTGATCACGATTGCTCATTCTCACAGCGAGTATAAATTAAAGCATTGAGATTCCTGATTATAGACACAGGGAGTGAGAGCTTCAAAACATAATGAAAAACATAGCGTATGCTTTTTTAATGAGTAATTTTCCATTTATGAGGCGGTATGTACGATTTGTATTTAAAATTGAATCTAAGTTTCCAAAGACACGGACAACATGTACAAATAAAAATCATTTTAGCTTTTTATTCTTATCTACAAAAACATGGACATGGTGAAAAATATGGAAAACGTGAGAAAGACGAATCCAGATATAACATTTTTGTTTAGCGGTGCATACAATGTACAACTGAAGGATTGTGAAGGATTTGTTTTTCTTTAAGTAATTTTTTTTAAATTGATGTATTGTAGACTAGACTTCTTAGAATTGATTTTTGCAGATTGTCCTGGGCCTGTTTGTGTTTGTGTGTTCTGTTTGTGTTGATTGATTATTAAAAGAAAATGCGCTGTTATTATTCATGTTTTTATTGTATCGTAAATGTTTCCTTTCTTGCTTTGAAACGCACTTTGAGTTGCCTTGTGCAGGTATGAATTGTGCAATACAAATAAACTTCTCTCTTTATCTGTCTTTTATCATGGTGAGTCATGCAATAACATTGTACTCAAAGACATGTAAATTTTTTACAGATTTTACGCAGAGCACATCTCATAAACACATGACCTTTCCCTACTGCTCTAAATGCCAAATGCGATCAGTAGAGATTATCTTTTCACAGGATGTTAGATTTGAGAAGTAAAAAGTTTAACATAATTTTGAAGTCTTTGATTTCAATCTTATGAAATAAAGTTTGTTTCATTTCTGGGCCTGATCCTGCAGGTCTTATTAGTGGTGATGTAACAGAGCAGAACATCAGGAGACACACATGCAGAAGTCAGAGCTACTCCCATGCAGTTATTCCCTTTATACTGGAGCCTCATTTATCTTAGCCAGGACATCCCACATTCCTCACAGAGCGCGGCTATCTCTGTGAAACTGACTGAATCTGGAGCTCAGGTGCTTCAATGAGGCTGAGAAAATGGGCCAAGGCTGAGCAATGCCTGAGCAGGACCGCTTACTGCACAATGGATACAGATCTGGGCATTACTGAGTGTTACTGAGGTTGACAAATTTCATTATGTAAAATATGTAGACTGCATGGTGTGGATTGATTATTTCTTTGCTAGCAAAATAGCGTTTAGAAATTGCGTGCCTACATTTGAAGCCTGGTCCGGTCAGACAATTAAAGTGAAGCAGAGCAGGGCCTGGTTAGTACTGTGATAATAAAAATAATAATGGTTATTATAGGTTTTATATAGTGCCCAAAGACTCAAGACTCAAAGATGCTTCACATATCATTATTCATTTCCCCCATACACGGTGGTAATAAACTACTGCCGTAGCCACGGCTGCCTTGGGGCAAACCAGTCAGTATGTGCCATAGGCCCCTCCGACCACCACTAACTACAGTATTCATGCACCCACCACTCACCAGTGAGCCAAAACTGTCATTGAGTCCTTATCCTCCAAGACACTTCTTGGACAAGGACATCCGCACGGCCTATAGTATGAGTCTGGTGTGTGGGTGAATGCTTGATGGTCGGAGGGGCCCATGGCTTACCACCTCAGTGTACAGAGTGAAAGAAATAATGCAAATGAAGCATCTCTGGATGTCATGAAAAGTTTTTGGGTAAAGAATTACACAACAAATTAATCCCTCATCAAATTATGATAATCAATGAATCATTCTACACACAGACTCCAAAGCACAGCAAGGGTTGAGACAAAACAACAAAGTCATGTTAATGTAAAGTTAGTATGAAAGATAAGAATATATTCTTCTATCAATAAAAGATTCAATATTAGGATTATAAGATTGAAAGGATATCACGTAATTTAGCAAAACAATCATTATTTGCTACCCTAGATTGCATTCATGAATAGTAAAGTAACAACAACAAAACTGTATGCCATCTTTTGTTCAATGTCAATAGGACAAGTGGTTGAGAAATTAACCATGAAACACGGAAACTGACCAGTTTACTTAGCTATCCAACCAATACCTTACACGGATTGACTTGTTTGAATGTGTTCAATGATATGTTAGCTTCCTATGTACACAAGTAAAAATCTATTTGATATTAATAAATACTATCAGCATTATGGAAGTGTGGAGGAAGGTCATCTGAAGCCAGTTTGTCCTACTTAAATGACATGACATCAAAAGGACAGCAAGGAATCAATACTCTGCTGGCCTACCTTCCTCTCCCTCCTGTCCTCCATAGGGGACCTAGAGCTGGGCGAGACTTCTCCCAGTAAAAAGCATAGTCTGGTCATCAGTTCCTGGGTGGAAACGGAGGAGCCCAATTGGGGTGCACCGTGACGGTCTGAAGAACAGCAAAAAGGAAAGACAATTTAGTTTTGGATATTTGACAAAGCTGCAAGAAAGACTTTGTTAAGCACATTAACAAGATATCCCCAAAGCATACTTGTAGTTGGATGAAACAAACTATTCTATTATCCCAAACATATAACAAACTCGAAGGTGCACTTTGAGCGCACATACCCTGCCGACACCACGCAGGATCATCATCTTAAAAAAGTTTTCATGTTTTTAATTAACTTTTATGCTGTTAAGCACATTGGGTTCCATGTATTTGCATTAATATGCATACAAAATACATAATATTATTATAAATCTGTAGCAGTTTTAGTAAAATCCTGTTGAAAGATTAACACACACACAACAACACACAAAGAGAGACCATATTCCAATAAATTGGGTTTGTTGGCGGGGTAGTAACTGTATTTTAACCTATTCAAATGACCTCTATACCTATCATATAATGCACCAAAAATATAGCACCTGTGAAGTTGATATTCATACTGGACTGGCTAAACCCAAATTAACGCTTTTCGTTCAGCTCCTTGACAATTTGACACAGCCAGCCAGCCAGCCAGCAGCATCAATAGTGTGAAATGTATGCATCCACTGGGTTGACCAAATCCCAGCTGATTACGCATGCACAAACGGAGCCCTCTCTATAACCACCGGCATCGCCACGGTTTGAGACGTTACAAAAGGTTGCGTGAGGTTGTGCGTTGGTGCACACGTCTGCCAGGTGCCCTCAGTTTTAGAGATGTCTTGTGAATTTAAATAAGGTCTGTCGTGGCGAGAAGGAGTGGTTTGAATCGTGCCTTGGCAGTTTCAATTCGAGAGGACGGATTACACGGCCCGAGCTCTCTGTTCATTTATCACTGTTTTAAGGGCTCCCTTGGTGCTTTGACCCTTGATCCTTGCAGCTTCATATTTCTCCTTCATCTTTGCCGAGTAGGTCTTTATGTTGCCTCAGCTAAAGTAGCACAGAGATTGCACTTTTTCCTTCTTCCTAACACTTCTGTTCCTGCGTGGCTCTATCAGCTGAGTAACATGCATATTGAGTAGGCATATAAACAGGATGACAGGACATCACAGATCACAGGGACGGTCCCTCCTCCTCCTCCTCACAAACATTTAGACATCATTCATTTCACACGCATTCTCTTTCTCCACCTGTCACTGGCCCTTTGAAATAGGTAAACCATTAGCCACTTCTTTTCATATTTCAACTACAGTATGTATGGTGAGGTAGTTGAGAGAAGATGAAGGTCAGTATCAATAGCTGCTTCTTTTCTAGTTTAATGCTTCTGTCTATAAAAAGTACACAAAATGGAACAATGATTACAAATTGAATGTCATAATGTGTTAACTGTGAGAAACTTTGAATTTTGTCCCCAGAGGAGTGACATTCAAGCCAAAGTAACACGAGCACATTCTGGATGTCCACTACTATTTATCAAACCACCTAACAGTTGCTATTGGAAACGGGAAGCTGAGAGGTGCCTGGCAACCAGAATAGAAGGTGTCTCATAAAATCTGCTTATCCTTCGGGTATCCCTCTGGTAAACTACTAATACAGAACTCTAATGGATGACTACACCACTATTTTTTTAAGGAAAACTCAGCGGCACAAGGTGAGCTGAGAAACCTGAATAGACTGTACAATAAAGCCAAGACAATACAATTAAGTTTCTGCCTTCAACAATAATGCATCCACTTAAAGTCTAGTACAGTCTATAGTATGTCCCACCTCTAAGATTGTAACTCCTTCAAGTCAATCATCACCTGAGCACAGGCATGACAGCACCCTCCCGCACCGGTCCTCACCTCTGTGCTCTGCTCTGCCGCGACACGAGGCGCTGGATGAGCTGTCGGCATAGTCCGGCTTTCTTTCCCGAGCTTTGACCGCGGAGAGGAGTGAGAGCAGGCAGATAGGGAGGTGGGAGGGAGCGTGCGATCGAGGCGGCCAGAATGGTGATGGGAGGGATGAGGGGAGGGGGAGGAGAGGGAGGAGAGATAGCAGGAGGGATATCAAAGAAAGTGAGCAAGAGATTAAACTCATCCAGATGAGATTGGTGGTGCTGAATTTGAATTGTTTCCCAAGAGTATGAGGTTCGGCGCGCAGAGGCTGCCCTGCGTGCAAACACAGTAATATTCCCAGAACTGTGGGCGTTTATCCTTAATAAATGAAGATTGCTCATGTTTACGCATTTGAAGACAGGGACACAATTACATTGATGTGTGGGAGTGTCTCAATTTATGCTGTGTTGATTTTAAGAGACATGCTCTGAGGGATGAGACGCTTGTGAGCTGAAACCGTCAGTATATTTCCACTGAGGGTTATTTATACTTTTAAACATGCTTGAGAGCACAGATGCTGAGCTCTAAAGCGTTGCAATTTACATGTTCAATAGATAAAGACTGACAATGACAGAATATTTGAGTTTGTGTAAATGCTCATGTGTGGTTTACTTGGTCGAACATAGCTCTGCTGCATACAAAGAAACATAATCCAGCCTTCTCTTAATATTTGGACTACCACAACACCCCCACCTTGTGACATACTATGGTAATGCAACTTGGCAGAAAAGGTCTGAGGCGCCTAGAGAATTTTGAGAGGGTTTTTCAGGGTACTTTCATCTTGGTAAATTGGTTCCAAAAAATATTGGGATAAAAAATAATATATTAGCTACTGATGCTAGTACAATAGAGTAGGACAATCCCAGTAAAGCATCTATAACACTAACAAAGCATTTGTTATGAAATGAAAATGAACGGAGGAGCACTATTGAGGTCCAATATACCGTACATTGTTTTACCCATCAGTTATTGATGTTGATACAGTAAATATCTTTTATTGACTGGCCTAATTTTCATATAACATAGACTCCTGATAGATGCACATAATAGTGTTGTCTCTCTTGTAAACAGTGAAAGAATAAAAAAAAGGAATTGGCTAACACTATGCAAATAAGCAGAACCACGCTAGGATTCAAAACTAGGACATTCTGTTCACAATTTCTCCTGTTTTACCAGGTGTGCTGCTGAGACGCAGGGAGGTTGTTTTGCATGTGACCCTAATGAAGACAATTAAATCTGCTCATGTGTCGATTGATAATATGGCAAATTGACCTAGCTCTTTGTGGTTTCTTGGCTGAAGTTATCTCACTCAATTATTTATTTTGACAATCTGTCGCCTTTTTGGGCCCTAGAGGGGCCGTCTGTGTATATGCTCCCTTCTTAGTTGTCACATGTAGGAACAGCTGAACGCACAGACAATCTAAGATGATAAATCTGAATACAATCAAAGCACGCTGCTATTTTTAAATATATTCCCAAGTGTATGGCTTATGGTAATTATATCTGGATCATAGTTGTATGCATTGTTATCACTGCCCACCTGGGAATCGAATGCAGGACGCGGAGAGCGCCAAGTCCGCCGGTCGTGAGAGCAGAGGAGAAGATGGTAGAGAAATGGACACGCCTTTCGTTAAACGAGACAGTTTTCTTTCTCTGTGGCTCCTATCCCGCTCTTTACAGTGTGTGCTACGTCTGTTGTCTTCCCCTTCCCTCTGCAGAGAGATGTGGGGCGGAACCTCTGCACCTGCACAAAAACAAACTTTCTGCATAACTACTAAGAATTGTGTTTAATATTGAAGCTCTACAGTATTAGACATATTATGCTACAGCTGTTTACCATGTTACAACATTGTTCCCACATTAAGTCCATCCACGCTAATATCAGGAACTTCTGGCACAAACATGTAACCTGTCTCAGTTATGTAATTGTATGATGTTATTGCCCAACTATGACATCACGCTCAGAGCAATTTGTTTGGTCAATTTACCTTTCCCCTTTTAAATAAGTGAAAAATAATCTCCTCCATATTTTCTACTTCAGACAATATTTCACATTCTATAACATGAAAGGACAAAGTATATAGTCTCATTCTCCTTTCTAATAGCCAAAAATAATGCATTATATGTCTTCTTTAAGCAACTTTATAGTGATATAGTGATACAGTACTGCACATAAATGTCTGGAGTGCTAATTTATTGGAGAGTCATGAAGGATATTTAGAACTTGGCTTCACAAGGATTTAAGTCTCAAGTAGGTTCTTAATCTTGCCGATAACACATCAGACAGAATCTAGTATCTGAGAGGCATATTAACGGAAGAGGTAATGGAAAGTTGTGCAAGCATGTCGCATATCCTCCATGGGAAAACTTCATAATAAATAAAGATAAGCTTGCATTACTTGACAAGAGTGCATACTGAATAAAGCATTCCTGTCAAGGCTTATTTTTCCAAACCATTGTAGCTAACAACCATTAACCATTAACATCATGCAACTTGCATAACAAATAAACAAAGAAGGATCTATTTTTGACTTTATTAACCTGTGTGGTGCCAGAACCTTTTTCAGAAATGTTATTTGAAACAAACAAAAGGTGAACCCCTGTAACTTTATAAAAAATAAATATGGAGTGGGGGTCTAGAAATGGGACTCAAATGTTGTTTGATCATATCTAAGGTCAACAAGATCACAGCCTCCATATAGGCTACTATAAACATACCATATTATTTTAATGAGACTGGCGCAGTTCTCTGTTCTGGCTTCTTAGGGCAGTTCTTTATTAAACATTAATGGCATGATCGCTCTAATGCTGAACATGTTCCTATTTCTCCACTGCGACACACACATTCATCTCCTCCAAACAGCAAGCAATAAAATAAACACTTAGTAGTAGTATTCAGGTTAGCCCATAAAAATCTATGTTTGTGCATTAGGGTGTGATTCTTACAGTCTGTTTCCTAACTCAACTCCTGACACAGTTAAAATGAAAGCAGCGGGACACTGAATAAAGGGACAGACACTGATGAATTGGGCTAATTGAATTGGCTCTGCAAACGCACCCAGGAGAAGACAACCTTGATCAATGCAACAGTGTTCACAGAGATTGATTTTGCAGAGTGCAGAGAGTAAAAGTGCAAATCTTGAACCAAATACATGTCATTATTTGGGTCGTCTTGATTTATTTGACATGACACGTGCTTACCTGCATTCTTATGGTTCTTTTTGATTCCATCTTTGACTTTACCCTGTTTCTTGTTTCCAAAGACAGCTCTGAACATAATTCCTAAAAAAAAAAAAAAAAAAAAAATGAAAACTACAAATATTATTTGTGGCCAAGGATGGGGAAACACAGTCTTATAGCAATAAGACTGGTTCTTGTCTTATATATATATATAATACATTACCTTTAATTTGGTCCTTTAAAAATCTTGTTTGTCTTCACATGAAATCCACGAGAGGCTGATAAACAAACTATCACTGGTGATGAGTCCATAGACCGTGCTCTCTCTTCGCTGTCATCACGCAGACTGATGGAGGCATGAGGAGCGCGCTCATTACGCACATGCGTAATTATGGTCTGCTCCTCAACAACATTCTCTTTTCAACGCGCCACGGGCCATAGGCGTACGGATTAAAGGAAGCATTTCAAAACCGTCTCGATCCTTTTAAATCTGTATGAGTAGGGCAATAGCCAAAATTGGAGCCTATGGGGAATTTTGTCAATGAGGGCACTGCTTCTCAAGCCGGGGTCCGGGAACCAGCGGGCCACGTGCTCATGGTTTAGAGTTTGGTAGTCATTTTTGTTATAACACTACAACATATCATGGTTAGGTTACAATTCTAAATGTGTTGTCAAGGAATCACTGATTGAAAATGTGTTTTTATTTCCAGTAACGTTTTTTCAATCAGCGTTTTTGCAATGTAAAAAACAAATTGGTCCTAGCCATAGATGTATTAGATCATTCTAACTGTCCTGACAGCATGTTTGAGGGCCTCCCCTGTTTTAGTCTATGGCACTATACTATACGATAACCTTTATAATAGTATTAATTGTATAGCGATTCCAAATATTTCTAATATACATTACGGAGTGCCCCACAATGTGATTGTATGGTATTTCTTCAGAATAATGCTGATGACGTTCTACCTCCAGAAAGTTAAAACTTTGATGTGGTTTTATTATCTGAATTTCAGGAACAAACGAGGCCGTGCTATTATAATCGATGCATGAAACAAACCATAGACAGCCTGTAGTACAAACCTTGAATGTAATAGTTATACAGAAGAACTCTAGTTCATCCACGATACAAAGCAGAAACGTCCCACAGGCTGCTACTCGCTCACTGACCCATAGGTGGCAGTAGAGAAACACGTGCACAGTGCCTATTTAAAGCGACCGTCCATGTTAGCCGGTCTTTTCCTCTTCACTATCTTGCAATGGCTCATACCATGAAGGCCGCAGGGACTCGCAGAAAGATTAACCATGACCAAGTACTTTTGAGTGAGTATCTCCCCTTTCAACAATCCATCATATTAATAATGGATTTAACAAAGTAACATTCAGCCATTCCACTTTACACTCAAAGTGGTTTTGGTGCCATGTGTTTTCTTGCTAGCGTTAGCATAGAGCGTAGTTTTAAATTTGACAATTCTCATCTTTTAAGGCACAGACAAACTTGGTGAAGTGTACATAGACGAAGGAGGATGAAGATTGGGACATACCGCCGTATGTTAAATCCAGATGTAGCGTTTGGTCAATCGAGGCTACACCTTTCTCCGGAAAAAGTAAGTTTTCTGCGGAAATCCCATTGCATCTTTGACAGCCTGGGCTCCCTGTATGTGGGACAACCTGGGTTTAAAATATCAGATGCAAAAGTGAAAATTCCCTGCGCTTTCGGCTTGCCCGTTTCAGTGGTTACTCTGATTGAATTGGGGAAAACACATTTAATCATGACCTTTTTCTGTTTTGAAGTGTGTAATGGGTAAATCTCTTGTTCTAGGTTGCCCATGGTATAACTTGAATATCTTGGAATTACTGCTTATCGGTTGAAAGATTGCAACTGGTCTAATGAGGTGAGCATTGGTGGTGGTTGTGTCTACAAATCTGCATCCACTGATAGACCTAAAGCAGCCTCTCTTGGCTTTTTGGTTTGCATAGTGATGCTAAATTGATATTCCTTGTGCTTTCTGGTAGCTATTAATGTGGCTGCACAGATTGAATTGGGAAATACACACAAGCTTACCTCATACTGATTGCTTACTTGGCATTAAACCATTTTTATCTTTGTTTCAGATGTCTCTACGAATGGACTGGGGGCACATTTTTTAGGGGGTCTGTCATCATTATTTTTTTTATTTTTTTTAACAAAACATTGGAATAAAGACTTGTTTGATACCACTAGTTGCTTTTTTAATCCACGAATTTCTTGGCCATATGCTAAAACCAAAGACTTAAGTTTCCACTCTTAACCATTGGGTCAAAATGATCAGTAATTTAAGTCTCTTTTGACTAATTCAGCTCATTTCACTGTATTCCCACAATGTAATTTAGTTAAAACCATGGATGAATGCAGAAGTGAAACTGAATTCATGTACTTAATGAAGCAGTTGCTAAAATCATCCTGTTGACTAATAATGTTTCTATTAAATCTGCGACTTGCAATTACAGGGACACGTTAAATGGTTTAAGACCCTATGTAAATTTAGACTGGTATAAATGTCATGGACACAATGTCTGTCCTGCTGTAGCCTGGCCTTAGCCATCCGTGCACTCTACTCAATTATTGAAATGTGATTAGTATTATGACCAGGCTAGTCCTGTGTTCCAGATTTTCAAGGTGCCTTCACTGTTTAATACTTAGGTGTGTATCATGTCAAAGTATAGAACATGTGAATTGGATTATGGAAATTAAGTTACGTTACCATTGTAATGAACTGTACAATGTGTCATTGGACATAGTAACATTGTAGCAGGGGTTAGACAGTACAAGTCGACGTCAGGCTAAATCCCTTTTGGTCTAAAATTCTTAATCAGGCATGTTAATTCCTTTGCTTTTTACATTGTACACATGATTGTGCGTCTTCCTGACTAACTTGATCATTTAATACACTTGACACCACCGTCATTGGTCTCATAAGTGATAATGATGAATCCTCTTAGAGCAGAAATCAAATGTTCAGTGGACTAATGACCTCCAGCTGAACACATGTGAACTGGTCTTTGACTTTAGCCCTAACGGTTCTCACATTTGCAGATTGTAGAGGAGTGCAAGTTTAACGACCTGAAATGGGACAAAAACAATACTCTGGTTAAGACAGCTTGTCGGCATCTCTACTTTCTGCAAAAACTTAAGGGAATTTACCACTAACTCTTAAGATTCTACTTAACCTTTATCGCTGCACCATTGACCGTTTGCTTGTTGGTTCTGTGACTGTGGTTTGGTAATATCACAGCAAAGAAAGGAGAGCTCTAAACAAGGTGCTCCGCTCTGCAAAGAGGACTGAACTGTGAGCTTCCTGTTCTGGAGGTTCTTTACAAATCCACACTTTTAAGCCAAGCAGTTAGAATAATCAATGACTCCTCTGGCCACCCTGGAAAAGCCATGTTCCAGCTTCTTCCCTCTGGCAGAAGATAGCATATTGAGATGTTCTGCATCTCAGCGAATGATAACAGCTTCTTTCCACAAGCTGTTATCAGTTTAAACATAGCACTTTAATGGTCTTGCCTTTGTATTGAAACGGTTTTAGTCGATCAGTGTCAATTGTTCACTGTTTTGTTATTGTTTTATTTCTGTACTTTTAACCTTGTCTTATTTATGTACTTCTCTCGTGCACACTGGGGACTTTTGCAAATGGCAAATAAATGAATCTGAATCTTTAACCCCCGGGTCAAATTGACTCAAGGATAAAAACCTAATTTACAATTAGGTTTGTTCTCCCAGCAGACAGTGCATGTATCCTTGCATTAAATCTTTATTAAGTCAGCATTACAAAAACAAGATTAGTATATCAAATGTACATGGCAAACATTTAAAATGTCACTTTACCTTGTGTAAAGCAACAAGGCTAAATTTAAAAATACTTTCCTTAGGCAGAAAGTTGTCTCGTCATTCTTTACCCCAACTTCCAGTGTAATGCAATACACACTCCCTTAAACTATTCATCCTCTGTCTTTTCTTCTCCCTGGTAGTGTCGATACTCGGGCTTAAGCTCCCATGTGTTCTTGTGAGTTCCCTTCACGTTGTAAATGCCAATGTCGCGCAATATTTCCTTCAAGTAAATCTAAAAGAAAAACAATGATTAAATTAGATATCAGTCTGATCACTCATGGCCAACTGAGCTTGAATGAACCACATCCAATTGCCTTTTCGGTATTCAGCAAGCAGAACAATCTAATTTGGCGCCGTTGGCAACATTTAAAATTAGCATTGCAAATGTGAAGCCCCTCACAGTTGGGTTTATTAGAGAATGTGCCATAGTCGTGTAATGGATCAAAACCTGTTATTATTCAAGGTCTTACCACTGGCTGCTTGGTGATGTCCACTAGATCTTTGATGTTGTAATACTGATGCTTCTCAAAGGCAGAAAACAACATATCCAACACCTGCTGTTTGTCTGCCCTTGCTCTCTTCCCTTCCTCTTTCTTTCGGCCTCTCGTACTCGAGCTGCAACAAGATGCCATTGATGAGTCAGTAACAAAGCAAGATTATGAATCGTAGAGGTTGTTTTCACCAAATGTTTACATGCTACATAAATGTTCTTACATTGTTTGCATGATTTGCCACAGGCTTGTAGTTGCTTGTGACTGCTTTATCGAGTTGCTGTGATAATCTGGCTGGTTTTGATGATTCCTCTATCTGCAACCTGTTCAGATGCATATACATTCAGACGGCCTCATAATAAATGTCTCACTCCAATCTTAAACACCCACCTTTTCAACTTCATGTAACTTTCACTCACAGCTGGTCGGCATTCCGCTCTCTGAACCACCATCCCCTCCAAGGCTATTTTATCTGTAAAGAGAAGGAGAAATTCTTATGATAGAATTCTTTTTTAGGTAGGACATTGTAACTTTTCTGGTGGAGTCTGCAAACAGTGGAGAATTACTTTACGTGGAATTTTCCACACAAAACCAGCCACTTGTCAAGATTTGTTTTCTTTAAAGCATTTCATTATGTCAGTTTATATTCTTACAAAGCCATCACCAATGCATATGAACAAATTTGTAAACTTTAAAAATCGGTTAGGAACCCCATTTCACCATTCCAGGATAAGCAAGAATTCAACAGGTGAAATGACGTGCTTTTAACCTATGTGCTATCCAAATTGACCTGCCAGTGATTAAAAAAATACCCAAAATAATGTTTTTACGCGAATTTTGATGATTTTCTCCTGAATTGATCCCCCCTCAGTCATTTAGACTCGAATATAGGGTATTTTCCTTCGACTTTTAATCACCTGCGGCAGGTCATTTTGACCTGAGGGTTGCACAAGGGTTAAATGGGTGTACATTTCACCCACACAAAAGTAGACATAATTTCACAAAATTATGTGAACAATCCAGCAACAATAAAATTAACTGTGTAACTAATCAAAGACATGTATTATAGCACATTCATTCATGTTATACTACATTGGGCCACTAAATCTAACTAATACCAATATAATATCTAGATCAAGAAAGAAATGCATTTACTTTTATGTCAAAGACTTAAAGTCACATTTAATTTCTATTAATCAAGACAGTCAGTTACAAACTCAAAATGTAGATAGAGTGAGCACTCATTTGAAAGAAGACAGAAACACACTCCAAAGATGCGGCTCCGTCACTCACGATTGGACTTACCTGGTCCTGCACTCGAACCTAGGCTGCTGCCATCAGATCTCTCCTCTGACTGGCCTACAGGGACGGAGGCAGGGATGGTAAAAGTGACAACACAAGGGGAGGAGGACGAAGGAAGATTGCCAGAATTTACATGACAGCATTATCACTCAGTATTTTAGTGCAATTGCCCAAATAATTTCCATACTTAAGTATAGTGTATAAACTTTTCACAGCAACAAAAGGAGCAGTTAAAAGTATATCTAAGATACACAAACAGAATCAGAATGAGTAACTATCACTTTGATTACTTCAGCTAATTACTTCACAAGATCATTGTGTGGATGTTTGTTCCCAATCCATGCTTAAATGACCCTTGTGATCGGTTCATTTAATTACATAGGCATTATTGCAGATTATGCAAATGCTGATTACAAACCGACGTAGGCAACTACATTTGGTCAGAAAATTACTTGGACAATTATGCTAAGAGACTGACTTAACTGCTGTATCTGCAAAGTTTAATCATGAAGTGCACATAAGCGCCATGGCCAAAGCAAGCATGACTTAAGCCAAAAGAACCACATCCACTACATGGACAAAGAATACAGGACCTCACACACACACAAAAATTAGCGTCCAAAAGAGTCACACAAGACCTAGTACCAACATTTGTGCAGATTATGGCATGCACATAAGCACCAAACAAAGCCATTTCCATGCACCAATAAAACCCACATTGTGCACTTTGTTGATCTTGGTTGGTATACTTCTGTGTAAACGCAATTATATAGCAACTATTGATGTATCAAATAAACACAAATACAAAAGTTACATGGTGCACAGACAGGGGTTCATGATCAGACAAACCTAAAATGACAGTTTCCAAGAGGATCGCAATACATGGTCATTCATCGATCTATCGATAAACAGTAACAAGCAAGTTGCCAAGGCTGCACATAAAGCTTTTAAATAGAATATGCCAGAGTTTTTTCAGATTATTTATTTTAAGCAGAGACAAAAACGTAAATCAGTACAAGTAAAAATGTGTGTGAAAAATAGAGGCCAACTTTTCTGGGAAGTTGCTGCATAGAGAGTGACATTTTCAGTGGTCTCATAGGTCACAATAGTTACAAAATGTGCAACAACAATAATTTGGGGAATGTGTGTCCTGGGAGATTTTTGTATTTTAAACAGGGGGGAAATAATTTAGCAAAGCAGGAAAAGCAAAACTGCATGTGTAAAAAAGCCAAAAAGTATGTAGAACAAGCCAATGCAGTCAGACACCAAAAAGAAACAAACATAAAACAATGTTTAGATTTATACAACAAAACCAGAGCAGACATGTTATTAGCAGCAATAAATAGACTTGCACAACACAAATACCCACCTGATGCCATTTCTGTGAAGACTGCTAGTGTCTGACCTCCTACACTCTGCATTGTGAATGGATGCTCTCGAGGTGCTGCCACTGTGTTTATTCCTTCAATTATAGTCAACTCTTCATTTAAAGTGAAAGTCACCTAACAGGAGAAGCAGAGCAAAAAGTTTATGATTATGCTGATTAGGCAGTCTATAAAATATGACATATCATATCATATCATAAATTACCTCAGGCTTCCCCAAGTTCCCTTTCCTGGAAATGTCAAAGGCATTAGTAATATTACAAAAAAATCATTTCAACAAATGATTAAAATGTACGTACTTGCAAATCCGGATCTTCCCAACTTCTCCCCTGCCAGGTGCTTTTGCCCATTGTTGGGACAAATATTTGGGAACCTGTGTGAAAAGGTTCAGTATTCATAATTTGAAGCTGAAATGTTATTGCCCAGTCAATGCTACAGTTGGTTTGTCTCAACATATTACAAAATTATAATACACATATTGCATGAGGATAGTCCTGTTTTTTATATTAAAAAAATAAAGAAAAAGAACATGCATGTGAAAACTAGCGGTTTTGAGAAGGAGAGACTACCTATACTACATATATGGATTTTATAAGGATACATAGTGGCAATATGCGTTCAGTGTGATTATTGCGCTGCCAAACTCATAAGTAGAAGGAGCAATTGATAATAATGTTGTGATGTGTAAGATTTACGTTTATGTTTCCAAGAATTCTCAATTCTAACCAAGTGAACGTAACAAAATAGTTCTCCCAAAACACTAACAATGAGCCTGGCTAGTGGCTAAATTGAATCCATGTAGCGGTAAATGCTAACTAGGCTAAAGCTAAACAATATTATAGATCGATCAACTATCACAAATGAACAACAAACACAGACCTTTACGAGCCATACGCCAGTGTTTTGCTTCGCACCAGTTAAATCCACCTCTCCCTTTTCTGACATAGTTAAAATAAATAAAATGTTGCTTCTAAAAAATGAATACGAAACTGGCACATGCGCAGAGTGAAAGAGTTAGCTACTACTGTACGGCGGCCGAGGAAGTTCTAAGTATATAAAGCAAACATTTTTTTCCTTCAGACTTTCATCTAAGCACACTACAATGCAATTATGGTTTTATATATTTTAATATAATTACCCTGATAAAAAAAAAAGACCTCAAAGATTTTTTTTAGTGATGGGAGTTGATATAAAAACAGAAAATTATGTAATTTAATCACAGTTGAAGTTTTGGACAGTTCTGTATTATTTATGACTAAACTCATATTAGTAAAACTGGCTGCAGTAATCACGATCTAACCCATTTGCCTTCTCATGTTTCCCATAAAAATGTAGTTCAACTACTACTATTTGATGCACCTGAATTTCAGTTAAGAAATTGACAAAGAAATGTTTTCTGTACGGTCAAGATGTTTTAAAACTACAGTGTATCAGATAATGTGCTTATATTTTGTTTCAGCATACATGATTCCTGGGGGTAAATCCAAATAAAATATGTAAGGATGAATGATCACATCTGTGATTTCAGGTCTCTGAGTATTCACAAAATATAAACGTCTAAAATTACATAAAACATACTTTAATCTCATCAAATATTCTCAAAGGTCAGCAGTACGCCAAGGAAATGGGGTAATATCAGCAGTACTTTCAAACCAAACATTTTATGTTTTTTGCACATGAAAAGGTGTAATAAACAGCACAGTAATTACGCAACAAAATAAAGAGGTCAAATATGACTAAACAAAGCCTATACATGTTGTGGTCTTCTGCCACAGGGAGCACAACTTATTCAAACAATGAATCAGTTACAGAAACATTCTGTCTCTGCTGTGGGAGAAGCGTGTGTTCAGTTCCTGAGATTTTTTTAGCAGTCTTTGTTTCTGAGCTTCATCAAAGCGGTTTACTTGAAGGTCTGCATCTCGGTCGAATGGCCTTCTTTCCACGGGTTGATCAGCCTTCTCTTTTGCCTTCTCCTTCATCTTCTTTGAGTGTAAGGTCATGAGAGACTCTGCACGTTTGGAGTCCTGTAGACATGTATATAAAACAAGTTTACACCAAGATATGAATGGAAATCATATAATATAATAATAAAACACTCACATTATATTTAGATACTTTATCTGCCATCTGAATGTCTTTAATAGAGAGCTGTGGAGGATCATCTTTTTTTTCCTTTTCATCTTTAAGTTTCCCTTCAAGACGCTCCTGTATGAGAAAATAACTTTGTCAACAAAACAGATACACAACAAAATTGAATGTCTAGTACAGTAATAACAGACCCTGGTTTTGCGCTCCCTGTCTGCAGGTGTATCCGTCCAAATTGAGCGATCACCTTTTTCAGGACCAGATTTCTTTTTGAACGTTCGAGCACCAAGACCAATGTGTTGGAGTTCAGGTGGGAGCTCAGTCATCCACGATTCCCGTGCGGGTGCAACTGGGGCATCCTGGAACATACAGTAAAAGACATCTCATGAATGGACCTGGTCAAATGCTCTTTAGAGACTGGAGTGTTGTATTAATTCTACCTAACACGATACTGTTTGAATTAGGTCGACATATCCATTGGTGTGCGTGATATGCTACTGATCATTTGTCTTTTGTTACATACACATTAAAAAAACCCACTAATTTAGTGATAAAGTATCATACTTTGCCTGAGAGCTTATCTTTCATTCTTTGAGCCCGCCGCTCAATATCCAGAGCCACTGAGTCTTCAGTGGGCCCTTTCGATGGCATGGGTCCAATGACATCCTCATCTTCATCTTCACTGCTGGATGCCTGGTGCTGGTATCCAGGGGGCAGTGCTGGGCCTGAGAAATCTTCTTCATCTTCACTGTCATCCTCCTCCTCCTCATCATCATAGGACGGTTTCCGAAATCCAGGTGGTAATGCTGGTCCTATTGCAGGGGTCCTGAGGGGAGACTATGAAGTTACATTTTCCATTTGTAATGGTTTAACAAACATGATTTTCAAACTTTTGCAAAAAAAACAGTTGTTACGGGTCAGGAGAGCTCTCTTGCTTCTTGAATCCTGGAGGTAGAGCTGGTCCAAAGAATCCATCATCATCATCTTCTTCTTCAGTTACTGCATTTTCTCTTTTTGAAGGAAATACTTGCATTACTATGTTAAAAAGGGTAATTTATTTGACCACTGTAGGCCAAACTCTTGTTTGTTTGAGGCGACATAAATTCAAACATAAAACAATGTACTAACAAACATGGGAGTATTACAATTGAGGCAGATCAGGCAAAACAGACAAAAATTAAAACAATAAAAAGCAAATCCTGATGTTTCAAATTTAAAACTTTTCTGAACAAATTTGGACACTGGGTAAATGTTGTGGCATATTTTTAAGCGGGACTCTTTGACTTTAGGTCATGAATTAGAGTAGGCCTCGTTTGGCAAAGCAGAAGCATCACATTACAAACTACCCTCCATCCATAAATGTGAGGACGACTAGAAAAAGATTCTGTACATCAATGTGTGGAATAAGATTATGGAACAGATTGTCTGTGGAATAAAAAATAGTGATAACATAAATGTATTTAATAGCTTAAAAATACGTTCTTCAAGTGTTATGAGAAACAGAAACCTTAGGAAGGAATTTAAACTATACATGTTTCTATATGTATGTGTATGTGTAAGTATGTGTGTGCGTAGGTATGTATATGTGTATATAAAGGTGTATGTGTATGTGTGTGTGTATGTATATGCATATGTATTTGTGTATGTGTGTATACATACATGTGTGTGTAAGTGTATATATGTATATATGCGGACTGCCCTGCCCGACCCGCCTGGGAGTGCTTCAGTCCTGCACCGGACCTGTCCACGTTCAGCGGCCACTGGTCCACGTTCTGTAGCTAGCTTAGGTCCTAGATCATTAGCCTGTCCGTCCGGAGGAGCGGATCCCTTTCTCAAATGGGTCTCCCTCCCTGTGGGTTTCCCTAGTTCTCCTCCAAGGTTTCTCACTTTTTCCCACTGGGTTTTTTAAGAGTTTTTCCTTGTCGATGCAGGAGGGTCTTGTTGGACAGTTAGTGTCCAACAGAAAGGATTGGTGATGATCAGGACACTTTAGCATTCTACAACATGTATGGACATTTTCTTCTGTGTGTGCTTTATATTCTTCATGTGTTTTAACTGTTGATTCTCTGACCTGTGTTGGTGATTTCAATGGTTTTGTTAAGTCCTCTGAGATGACTTCTGTTGTGACAAAGGGCTATACAAGAATACGTTGTATTGTATTGTATATAATTTGTATGTAAATTGATTTTGGTAAAAGCAAAAGGAATGTGGAACACATAACTACAGCAAACACTTTTGTGGATAAGGGGTGGGACTAAATAAGTTTTTTACTTTCCCATTTTGTTTGTATACATGTTTGAAATAAATAAATAAATACAACAAAATACAAATACAAAATACCCTATTATAATCGTGATAAAGAAAAGATTTGAAAGCATCGGTTACAAATTTGTTATGACATTTCTCATCAACCAGATTTAGATTGTTAATCAGCAGACTCGGAAACGTTGTTTTTGTTGATCATAACGTACTGTTGATTTCCAGTGGCGTGGCTTGTTTTGGCTCTTTTTGGAGACACCTCTTCTTCACTGTCGTCTGAAGACCCTCGTTTGTACCCAGGAGGCAGAGCTGGACCAACAACTGTTGCAATGGACATACAAAGACAAGAAAACATAAACTACATAAATTCAAGAAATGGAAAAGAGGCCATACGTTCATTATCCGAATCCGAGTCAGTCTCGTCTTGGCTGTTCCTCAAGTGTGGAGGCAATGTTGGCCCAGCGGACGACATATTTGCAATAAAATGATAGTAATAATAAAAACAAACACAAAACAAAAGGAATCTCCGAGAAGGAGTAAATCCTAAATCTCACACAAACTGCTGTAAAATGGTATCAACCTTTGACTCAGGATGTAAATAGTGTAGCTGCAATCCGATTGGACACTTTTTAGTAAATTAAAAAAATATAACAAGACACTTCCGCTTGTCTTCAGCATCCATAACCATAGACATATAAATTATGTCTACGTCCATAACACCCATCTATGATTACACCGCTAATGCAAATCTGAGTGGGCTTCTTGTTTATATTTGATAAATAAATAAATATGTATTTCTGATATTTTACCTCTAATTTCCTTTAATTATGCATTTCCGCATTATGCCAACACTCGACACATGTCACACTATTAGCAGCTAGTAGATATGTCCTTTTTTTACTTTGACTAGCGCCGTTTTCAGTGCTATGATGACCCTGAATTCCCAATTGAAAGGTTTCAAACATATCTTTTCCTGACGGTGGTAAGCAAAGCTGTATGGCTCTTAAGATTACCAAGGATTTTGTTTTCTTCAGAAGGGTTTGATTAACGCTGTTTAAAAAGCTTGTGGGACATACCCACATTGTATAGATGTTTTATTATTTTAAGAGAGCATCTTGTGTCAAAGGAGCTGTGTCATGGAAGTAGCCAAGCCTTTTAAAAGACACATTAGGAGCGACGGTGGTTCAGTTGGTAGAGCATGACCTTTGAGCCTAAGGTCGTGGGTTTGAACCCAGGTCTCCACTGACACCCACTTTGATGTCTGGAGCTGTCGATGTGTCCTTGGCAAGACACTTAACTATGGCCTGATGCCACAGTGGGGCGGCTGTGGCTGTAAAGTGGCACAACTGCCGTTTGTGACCTAGGGCAAGACCTTGTCAACCTCCGAATGCCCTAGAATGAGTCAAGTGTTTGTGTGAATGGTTGGTGGTGTCGAGGGGCCAATGGCAACATACTGGTTGCCTCGCTTCTGTCGTGTGCCCCAGGGCAGCTGTGCTAAAGTAAGCCTTTTATCACCACTGTGTATGCCGTAGAATGAATAAATGCAGCCCGCGAAAATTCCATTGGTATGACGTAACCAAAATACCCCCTACCAGCCGGTTCACATCCCCAGCCTATCCGCTCTACAGACCGCCCCTTCCAATCACCGTACCGACTACTCACAGCAGCCGCATAAAAAAACGGAGGAACTCCCAATCTCACCTCTCTCGGGCCCCTCCGAAGCCTTGCATGAATCGATCTGGAGGAATCGCTCTTGTCTACTCCAACCTTACGTCCTGCGGTCCCGCTGTCCCTCTGTCTTGCTGCGTGTGGGCCTGCTCCTCCTCCGCTTGCTGCAACATGCTACGGGTCTCGTGCTGTGGTCCTGGTCTTTGCCGCTCTCGCTCCTTTGCGGCTGTTCTTCTGCGGGTTTCGCCGCTGCTGGCGTCCTCGTCGCAGGCCTGCTGCTGCAAATACTAGCCGGATCTTGCCCTCGGTGGCGGTGGGAGCCGTGCGCATCCCTGCCTCCTCGTGCCCGGTACGCGCGTGTCCCGTTGTGTTGTCCCATAGTCTTCTGTGCGTTGTGGGTAATATGGCGGACGGTTTATTCCCCTCGCATTGTACCTTGCAGGCTCAGTTTCGCACCCGCGCTTTGGTACTGGCAGGCTCATGTTGCCCCGTGCATTGGTGGGCAAAGCTTCAGTTAAACCCTCGCAATTGATCTGCAGCTCTTCATAACCAAGCTCCCGGTAAATCCGTCTACTCTGACTGCAAGCAATTCCCTCACAATGAACTTCAAGACCTCAGTTTAATTCCCTCACATTTGGACTGCGTGCTCATTTTTAATCCCCACTTTGGCCTGCAGGCTCTCTTTTAAAATCCCTCACTGGACTTCGACACTGTTTAAATCCACACTCTTGGACTGCAAGCCCCGTTTAAATCCTCTGGACTGCGGCTCTCCCAAATTGAATCCCTCACATTGGACGCGAAAGCTCCCAGGTTTCATCCCGCACGGAAATGCTTATACTGGAACTGCTTATATCTGATCTGTTATACCCGTACCTGAAACTCGCTTCATGCGGAACTTGCTTATAAATGGAACGTGCTATAATGGAACTGCGTAATATAAACTGCTATAAATGAACTGCTTAATAATATGGAAACGTGCATATATATGGAACGGCTTGATACGAACTGCTTATATGGAACTGCTCTATATAAATTGCATATATGGTACATGCTTATACTTGAGAACGCTTATATATAAAATAAATAAATATATTTATTTATAATAATTTATGTTTATTTATTTTTATATATAAAGCGTTTCCAGAATATAAGCAGTACCAAATAGCAATTCCAATATGACAGTTCCATATAAGCAGTTCCGTATACAAGCCGTTCCATATATAAGCAGTATACCATATATAAGCAGTTCCATATATAGCAGTTTCATAAATAGCAGTTCCATATATAGCAGTTCCATATTTAAGCCGTTCCGCATGAACGCGAGTGCCAGGTACGGTAGTAAACAGCTCCAGAAATAAGCAGTTCCAGATAAAAGCAGTTCCGTGCGGGATTAACCTGGGAGCTCGCAGTCCAATGAAGGGATTCAATTGGTACCGCAGTCCAAGAGGGATTTAAACGGGGCTTGCAGTCTAAAGAGAGGGATTTAAACCCGAGCTCGAGTCCCAGAGAGGGATTTAAAGAGAGCCAGCAGGCCAAAGTGCGGGATAAAAACAGAGCACGCAGTCCAATGTGATGGATTAAACTGAGGTCTTCATCCAATGTGAGGAATAGCTTGAGCAGTCAGAGTGCAGGATTTAAACGGAGCTTGGTTAAGAGAGCTGCATAACAATGCGAGGCTTTAAACTGAAGCTTGCCACCAATAGCACGGGGCCAACTGCGTCCTGCATACAAAGCGCCGGGGCGAAACTGAGCCTGCAGTACAATGCGAGGGGAAATAAACCGTCGCATACTACCCACAACGCAAAGACAAGGACAACCAACGGGAAATCCACGCCGTACTGGCACGAGAGGCAGGATGCGCACTGCTCCCACCGCACCGGGCCAGACCGAGCCGTATGCAGGCAGCCGTCCCTACGAGACGAGCAGCGCGAATCCCGCAGAAAGAGCCCGCAAAGGATAGAGCGGCAAAGACCCACGGACCACAGCACGAGACCCGTAGCAGGTGCAGCAACGCGGAGGAGGAGCAGGCCACACGCAGCAAGCAGAGACAGCATGGACCGCAGGAGTAAGCGTGAAGTCGACAAAGCGACTCCTCCAAAGATTCATGCAAGGCTTCGAGGCCGAGAGTGGGAGTTCCTCCGTTTTTATGCGGCTGGCGTAGTCGTACGAGATTTGGAAGGGGGCGTCAGTTTATCGATAGGGCTGGGGATTTGAACTCGCCTGAGGGGGGTAATTTTGGTTAACGTCTACCAAATTGAATTTTCGCGTGGCTGCATTATTCATTCACTCAACACAGTGGTGATAAACCTTACTGTAGCCACAGCTGCCCTGGGGCACACTGACAGAAGCGAGGCAAACCAGTATGTGGCCATTGGCCCCTCCGACCACCACCAACCATTCCACCCACAGCACTAGACTCATTCTAGGCAAAGGAGGAGGAAAGTGTCCTGCCCCTAGGACACAACGGCAGTTTGCCACTTTAAGCCAACAGCCGCCCCACTGTGCATCAGGCCATAGGTTAATAAGTCCATGCCAGGACACACGACAGCAGTACATCATTGGGAGTCAGTGGATACCTGGGTTCCAACCCCACTACCTTCAGGCTTCAAAGTCAATTCTCTATCAACAGAACCACCGTCTCCCCAAATGAGTCTTGTAAAGAGCTGGCTCTTCCAAGACACAGCTCCTTTTAGACACAAGAGCCATCTTAAACATAATAAGAAAACACATCTATACAATTGCTATGTCCCACAAGCTTTTAAACCGCGGTAATCAAACCCCTTCTGAAGAAACAAAAAAAATCCTGGAAATCTTAGACCAAACAGCATTGCTCCACCGTCAGGAAATAAAATGTTTTGAAACCTTTCAATTGGGATTCAGAGCTCATCCATACACTGAAACGGCACTAAGTCAAAGTAAAAATGACATACTCTACTAGTTGTGCTAATAGTGACAAGTGTCAGTGTTGGGTCCTACGGACCCCAGTGCTCCATTTAACACAATAGGACACCAGAATTCTACTGCGGAGGCTAGAATGTGATAATAGGTCCAGAGGAACAGCCTGGCTGGTTTTAAAACCTATCTATCGATCTGTATCACTTGTCAATTTGAATCACAAATGCATCGCCTTATCTGGAGTGGAATTCGGATGTCACACTCCTTCAAGGCTTATATACGCCAAGCAACTAAAACAGCTTTTTCCACTTGCGGAACATCGCAAAATCAAGAATATCCTTCCTAAAAGTGACCCGGAATCCTTCTTTTATATACAAACCATGAAATGGCCTGGCTCGTTCTTCTCTTCAAGAACGTTAGTGCTATAATCCAACCAACCCGAGCACTGTGCTCACAAAACGCCAGACGTCTGTTTGTTCCAAAAGGTCTCAAAAAGTACTGTCAGCAGCAGAGCATTTAAGCTACAAGCCCCTGTTACTGTGGTAATAAGGATGCATTACGGTTTTCTTTCTTTTCTCTTTTCTCCCATCATTCAAGGCCAGACTTAAAACACTCATTTTGCCTCTTAGCAACATTTTAGCCTATGGTTAGTTGTTTGTCTGGTTTTGGTTACACACTTGGTGTGTAATCCACAAATATTTGGTGCTGTAGCCCTGGTCTATCCTACCGCGGCTGCTGCTGATTCTCCTTCAGTTCGGACTCGGTCTCCACATACAAGGAAAGGCTTAAAACAGTCGTCTTTTAGTTTAGCATATGGTATACGGAAGGTAAGGCTCAGGGAAGGCTGACATCTTTGACTGTCAGCAAGCTGCGTAGGAGTAAGTCAGGGGGGGGGGGGGGGGGGGGGGG